CTGACAGATAGTTGTAGAGGAGAAAAGATCTCCAGGTTTTTCTTTACTTCCTCTGTCCATTTGGTTTTAACCATGCCATTTCCCCGCTCTCTTCAAGCTTCACATACTGCAACTCAAGCATCAGTGCAGAGGAGTTGTAGAATTTGATCGATATTCATAGATAAACTCAGGGTTCAGGAGGAGTACATGATGCAGAAGTTCATTCATTCAACTCACGCTTCGCTCTGGGTCTCTTTAACCCGTCTAGATGGGCCGACCACTTTAAACACCAATCAGGTCTGTCTGGATTTGCACATTCGTCCACTCGTAAACCTTTTCCCCCTAGCTTTTTATTTTTTACACTGTGAAATATACATCTGAACAATCTTGTGAGTCTCTGGTTGGATTTAAATAGCCTTACATGCTTCAGTCTCTTGGATACAGTGAACCTGATTGGCCGAGAGTGCATGCTGGGTATGCCCAATCACAGGGCATCACCATGGAGCTTACCAGCCAATGGGAGCAGGAAGATGGTCTCTGTGATTTCATTGTCACTAAGGGAGGAGGAAACATACTGCCAGGACAGTTGGCACTAACACGCTAAGCAGTGGACTCTATTATAGTGAGAGCATATATGTTTGAGATAACCTGTGGAGCCAGATCCAGGGTGTTGCCAAGGAGGGGAAAGCACAAGGCGGGTCTAAAGACGAAGCTCCTCTCACCAGGAGCTACACAGTCCCATAGCACACAAGCTCATAGTACACTCACGTCACTGTTATCGGTGCCGCTCACGTCACAGGAATGAATGGGTTGATTTGTGAGAGCCATCGTCCTGCTTGAAGGTGGTGTGTCTCCTTGGCAACCAGCTCCATCTCTGGCCAGAAGCTTAGACTGACAGAGAGCACTCAGCTCGCAGGACAGGGGTTTCTTTGCTCTCCCTCGATCGCCATTCAGTCCTGGTTTGACCCCTGAAGAGTGGTATCTCTCCATCTCTCCGTCTGTCCTTTTGTTATTTTCCTGTCCTCTGACCTGTTTTTGCCTTAGTATTTAATTTTTTGACAGTCATCCCTCTCAAACCCCTTAATCTCTGTTTATAGTGGGGATACAGTTGATTATTATATTATCAATTAATAATCTGTAGATTACTATATCTGTTCGGTCTTTAAAATGTCACAAAATATTGAAATATGTCCATCACAGTTTCCAAGATTCTAAATTATTTGTGGCCAAAATCCAAAGATTGCTGAAACAGCAGCCAATCCAATCGAATCCAAATTAGAAAAAGTAAATTGTGTTTCAAGCTAAAATTGGCTGTATGTCAGGTACACTGAAAATGTAATAAATAGCACCCATCCTCTTATTTTTAAAATAAAGTCATCACTTGTCTGTTGACTCATAAGGTCGTAGCACTCCTAATAAAACAGAGGTTATTCTGCTTAACTACAGATCTCTACTTATCTTTTAGCCTTTTTATAACTCTTTTAGTTACTCGTCAGCTTTTCCAGAAGTGATGATAGTAACCGCCTTAGTGAAGTTTTTATGAGCCAGCAGGTTGACGTTGGAACATGACAGAAATTAGTAGTGAGTCGTTCCCGGGTTTTGCTCCTAGTCAGCAGCTTGTTTCTGACAGACGTGGTGAGAGTGCTGTGACACAAAAAAACTACTCCTAACTTTTCAGCTCTGTGGCTTGTAGAAGATTACAGATTCATCTTTTGTACTTAGACAATCTAAGATGAATTCGGTTCTTCAAGGGAAGTTTGTAATAAGGAGAGCTGTCTC